TAAAATAAAATAAAATAAAATAAAATAAAATAAAATAAAATAAAATAATATAAAATTAAATAAAATTAAATTAAAATAAAATAAAATAAACTAAATTAAATTACATATAATTAAGTGAAATTAAATTATATAAATAAAATAAAATAAATGAAAATATAACACAAAAATAAAAAAAAAAATAAAAAACGGGAAAAATTAATTAAAAATAAATATAAAGAAAAAATTTACTTAAAATTAAATTAGATGAATTCAAATTAAATTAAATTAACCTAAATAAATTATTTTAATTTAAATTAGTTTACATTAAATCAAATTAGATAAAATTAAATAAAATTAAATTAAATTAAACTAAATTAAATTAAATTAAATTAAACTAAATTAAGCTAAATGAAATTAAATCAAATGAAACTAAACCAAATTAGTTTAAATTAAATTAAACTAAATATATTAAAAAAGATTAAACTAAATGAAATTAAGTACAAGTAAAATGAACCAGAATATAAGAAAATATAAGGCCTAAGATATAATAAATTATATTTATGTCTAATGAAATAAAATAAAAAAGTTAAATTGCATACAAAAATAAAAAAAAATTTAAAAAAAGTTAGGTAAATTAAAACAATTGCATAAAAAAGCTACAAATTAAAATTAACTGAAATATAATAAAATATAAAAGTATGTAAAATAAAATATAAAAATAAAATAAAAATAAGTAAAACGAAATGAAATTAAGAAAAACAAAACAAAAATTTGTAGGTAGTCCGCAAAATATTAATTCAACCTTAACTTTTTCTATAAATACGGAAATACATCATATTCTTAATTTTACTCTAATTTTGGGCTCGTCTCTTATTGCTGTCACAAAATCACTTTTTGATACTATCCGCCCACTGTGCAAACATGCAAACCATGGCGTTCTCTGCTGCCATTCTATATTTGTCTGCAGCATTTTGCATGGCCGTCAACTACAAAACAAAAAAAAAAAAAAACGAACTCGCTTCTTTAATTTTCCGTTCATCTTTGTGGCTACACGCTTGAGTGTCAATTAATGACGTACCGGGCGCATGGCGCAGCTGTTGCACCCACTGTGTGGCTAAACTATTTGGTGGCATGATTGGTTTCCTGTTGATTGGATTGGCAGCAGCAGTAAAAAAGTAAAATAAGAGTAGCACAATAATTCTCTATTATGTTGGAAAAACAATTTTCGGTGGAGCACAGAAGGGGAAACCGTACAAAAGAGAGAGCGGCTGAGTAATAAGAAGCCGGACAGAGGCAGATGGTATAGCTGCAACATTCGTTGCCGCCATGCTGCGGCTGTGTTATTTTCAGACACACCGCACACTGCCACTTCTTCCCTGAACTGCATGTGGCAGGAACACTGCTGGTTGTGGCATCATGCCGGCAAAGAGTTAAAATTAATGTGATGTGCGTGGCGTTGCTGTTTTTAAGGCTGCTGTTACCACCGCCTCGCTCTTCGCATTTCAAAGGTAATTTTTCATAGCGCAGCTTTAGTCAGAATTGTTGAAGTGTTGCACACACCTTGTTGTGGCGGTCAATGGACTTGCGGCCAGCTATGTCGGTAAAGCAGCGTTTATTTTAAAGCAAACCAATGGAAACAATTTTAAAGCTAAAGTTATGAAAATATGAAAAAAAAAATTTTCATTAAAAATTCCTCGTAAAGAACTAAATAAAAACGATTATTTAAAGAACTATTTGTGGATGTGCTCGTAGAATAATTTAATATTTTTTGCTCGCATACTCACCAATATCGAAACTGTGCGCCACCGGCACCACCTGTAGCGCCACTGTGCACAGTAGAGCAAACTGTAGTAGTCGATAGTTGTAGTTGTGGGAAGAAAGGCACTGCTGGGAGAACATTTTGTGGGTGTTGTTGTAGCGCGGGTGTGGATTGTGATGATGATGATGAGACGTCGAATTTCTTCTACTTAATGTGTCTGTAGTAGTTAAAGTGGCTGTTGTTGTTGTGTTGATTGTAGTAGTTAGCATTTTTTTTTTTGTATTTTCTATTCGAGTGGGTTTAAGTTGAAAGATTCAATTTTCTTTAGAATTGCATAAATAGTTGTTCTTCTTCACAGTTTAGCTTTCCAGTTTTTTTTTCTGCTTTTCTATTTAATTACTTTTTTCGTTGCGAAAAAATTTTTATCAGCATAAAAGTAGGCAGTGTCGTTTTGAGTGATGATTGCTGAAATGAGAAAGAAAAAGTAGCTTAATTAGTTAAGTTAAACTTTTTGGGGAAAATTACAATAACCACATTATTGGAATAATTATTAAGAAGTGGTCAAAAGTCAACTAACAGGCCAACTCTGGCAACTATCTTGAGAGCTCTTTTGTCTTCCGAAAGGCTAGTTAAAAGATTTACTAATGAGCAGGTGGTAGGGCTTTTCAGTTTGTCTTTTAGCAATAAGTGTTCTAAAAATTAAATAAAGTTAAAAATAGTATGTATGTATATATTTTTATTTAAACAAAAAATAAAACCTGAAAATCAAAGAAAATTAAATTAACCCTTTGCCCAGCATTTGTACGATATACATATTGAAATAATTATATTTTTTAGCTTAAAGTAGTGTTTAAATCAACTTCAAAGTTCATTTTTTTTGTCCAAAGTCAAAATTTATTATACAAACTACTGCATGCAAATTTTAGTATCGTTGGCGAATAAATTTGAACAGGTATCACAATTTTTATTGGTTCTTATTTTATTGAAACTAGATAAAAATAAAAATGTAGTTTTTCTCATTTCTCTAATTTTTGTAGACAAAATAATCGTAAAAAATTTATTTATCATATTTTGGAAGACTGGTTTAGAAAATGGTTACAATGGGTTAACAAGAAAAAATAAATTAAAATTTCGTTTAAAACCCCAAATTTAAATCAAATTAAAAAATATTTTCATTTTAAAACAATAAAATCTAAAAATTTTATAAAAAAATAAAAAATTAACAGAAAAGTTTTTTAAAAATTAATTAGTTATTAAAAAGAATTAAATCTATTTCTGAATTAAAAATTTAAAGAAAATTACATAAAAAAAGGAGAAATTTAGTAAAATAAAAAAATTTCGTTTCAAAATAATGTGATTTAGAAAATAAAGGAGCTTAAATAAAAAAATAATAAAAAAGGGGAAAAATTAAGTAACACCCCAAACATTTAATGAAATTAAAAAACTATTTTTCATTTTAAAGCAATAGAATCTAAAAATTTATAGGATCTAAATGAAAAAAGTTGATTTGGAAAAAGAAAAAAATACAAGTTTTAAAAAATTTTATGAAATTAAAAACAACATTTTTCTTTTTAAAATATTGATTTGTTAAAATTAAATTAAAAAAAGAGAAAAAATACACAAAAAGTAGTTTTCTAAAAATTTCATAAACACACTCCTTTTAGAACAATAACATCTCAAAATTAAAAGAAACTTAAATTAAAAAAAAAAAGAAAAAAAAATGTTTAAAAAATTCCACTGCACGGGGACTCCTCGGCTCTCTCGAATGGCACGAAAGTGCTTTGCCCACTCGGACATTGCGACCGTTAGAGCATAATGAGCAAAATGATATACAAGTGCTTTCTGTCAAAAAAGCTTAAAAAAAATGGTAAGGGAGCCTTTTTGGTAAGACTTTCGCGCCAGAATAAACAAACGCTTTCAAACTATCTTGCCTATTGTATTTCAATTGCCTTACAAGAGACTCAACTATCGTATAATAGTTCAAATTTACCTCATTAAACTTTCAGAGTCATGAATGGACGATAGTGAATAGGCAAGTCCAAAGACTAGTCGATCTTCAAAAGTCAATGAGTAGTCAACAGTCAATACTCAATAACAAATAGTCAATCGACAATGGTCCATAGTGACTAAGAATAGCCGTTAGTTAGTTGGTCAAAAATCAATAGTCAGAGCATAGTCATGACTAATTTTCAGTAACTTCTAGTGATAACCGCAGGCCTACACTCAACAGTCATTAGTCAAAGATCATCAATATTTAATAGTCAGAAGTTAACGGAACATGATGCATAATGAATTGTAATAAGGCCAATGTTCAGCAGTCAATAATCAATATTAATAGCCAGCGGTCAATATTGACCATTATAGCTTAGCTCCATTTAAGTAATTCTTATCCAAAAATCCATTTACATACTTTTTCATCAAACCACTTTTGTAGCCAAAGAAGTAGGACTTAAATTATGTGACTATTTTCTGGCAGAGGATGACATAGACATACAGTAAAGCGAAATAATGCTAGAACATATTTTCAACGTACCAAAAACAAAAATAAAGCAAATTCTACAGAGCGAAGAAAAATTCTCAAATTAACAGGATATTCTACAAACTGTAGATAAAACTCATAGATACACAATCGCAAGCTCTCAACACTCACATCCACTTAGGGCTCATTAAAATTAAAGCACGTCAAAAGATTCTAATCTTGTGAAAGATGTGCAAATACACACACACATACACGTTCATGCACAAAAATTGACAGGGTTGACGTGAGTACAGTTTCAGAGGATAGTCAGCGCCCAAACTGGCTAGTCGGTGTTGTGAGCCGGTAAGAGCAGTGAACAAAATTTGAACTTTTTCACTCACTTTTTATTTATGGTTTATTTACCGAAAGGTTTTTATACGCCTAGAAATAGACCAGCTAAAGCGAATGTGTTGTACTAGCATTACACATATATCGTCACCTGGAATGCAAAAAGACGTAACAAACATCGTCGCTGAAATACAAAATGTCGTAACTAATAAAAAATTTAAATGATGGATTTCATCGAATTACAACTCCCACATCTCATCTAATGAAAAAAATATATATATTAGTCACGACTTTTTCCATTTCAGTTATGATGTTGCTACGTTCTTTTGCATTTCAGGTGACGATATGTATGTGTCTATGTAGATATTTATTCGTATGAAATATGGCATATTTTGTCTATTGCAGAATTTTTTCAGTGCAACAAAGAAAAATTCTTTCCTTAAGGAGAGAGCAAAAACTTGTTACAATAATTTGTGGCAAAATGAGCAGTTGGGAATTTTTTTTTTGGGGCCGGTAAGTAAGTAAACTTCAGCCAGATAAGAAGAAATATACTCTAGATGAGCGTGACAAATTCAGCACTAATCCCAAGGAGTAAGATGTTCACTAATTTGTTCTGAAGTACTGAAGTACCATTGGACGCATTCGGCTGGCGCCTTCCGACAGAGTCGAGTACTTGGGCTTGATCCTAGATGGGCAGCTGTTGTGTCAACCTAACATTGAGTAAAGAAGGTAACAGTGAGACACTCTACTATGTAATTGCCTGGCTCTATGACAGTACAATGAACCTTCGTTTGTTGGATTGCTCTCGAGGGGCACCTGGACCACTTCCATTCTGGCTAATAGCGGCATGCCTAATAGCCTAGAGCCCGTCGAAATCTGATGCTTAGGCTGTGTTAAGACTTAAGGGTACTGGGTGCTTATCTGACTCAGGTTCGGGGGCTAGATATGAGTGCGCGGTCGTTAGAAGTCTGAAGGATGCACCGGCGGACATGATGCCAATGCCATAGCTCATAAGAGTCAGATATCTCCTTACAGTGTGGAGCTTACACGGATGGATTGAAGTTTGACGGAAGGGCTCCTCCCTTACGCAGGAAGCTCTATATCAACCTAAAACCTAAGCGTTTACTTTTGCTGTAGTGTTCTCTACGTATAAGTTGCAGCTCTTTAGGAAGCGGTACATCGGCAAGGGAGATATGCATATACATAATTATCTATTTTTGATAGCCAAACTTCAATTAGGGATTTAGAAATGCTCACAGTATGCTCAAATCTAGATGTGGAATGCTTGACCTCTTCTACGGTCGCGTTTAAGTATTTTATTGTCAAACATTTATGGGTGCCAGATCACAGGAAAGGCATCCTCGAATGAGGTCTAACAAAGCCTTAGTTCGATATTATTTTCGAAGAAGGTTGCCACTTTCTCAAAAAATTACAATCAAGAAAATCAAAAAAAAAAAAAGACGAGTTAAGTGAAATATTTTGGTATAGGTATCAAGCGATAGAGGTTTAAAAAGCTTTATGTATATCAAAAATATTTTGAGTAGGGTTGCCACCTATTTAGTTAATCAAAATGAATTTAGTAGACAAGTTAAATTAAACATTTGAATACAGAGAGGTTCAAGCAAACTTCGTTTATAAAATATTTTTGTAGAGTTTTAAAATTATATTGCAATTAAATGAGAAGCTAAATGAAACTTTATAATGCGGATTTTTATACAAAATATTTTTGAAAATGGTACCTGTCTGTTCTAACAGGCAACTTTAACTTATGACGTTTTCTTTTCTACCGCCCTCTACGCACAAATACTAATGAAAGTACAAAGAAAACACAGCATTTTTGGTAGAAAAGGAAACGCCAACTAGTTAACTAGTTAATTGAAATATTAGATCGAGGTTTCGTACACATTTACACCAAACTATTTTTAAAACATTTCAGAGTAGAGTTGCCAATTTTCCAAAAATTTATGCAATTAAACTTTGTCCGATTAAATAATGTAAACAGAAAATAACAATTTGGCATTACGAAAGATATGTTGTTTTTCACACTGAAACAACTGATTTAATTAAAATTTCTCGCACACATAGACCATGGCTTAAAAAACAATTTATTTACATCCCTGAATTGCCAGAAAAGAGAAATATCGAGACTGGCTCGATAAAGCTGACCATCTGAGTAAAGGGCTGTCTGCAGGTCTCTAGAAAAATTCATATAAAGTGATGCATAAGAAATAGACGGCTTTGTGGAAGATCGACTTATGTATGTATCTCGGTAGCCGATTCGAAAACGCCCTATCTCAACAAATTTTTCAACAATACCCTATTTCAGAATTTGGTTAAAGAAAGCCCTTCCACTTAGCCATCGAATTTTTTTATTCTATCATAATTTCTTAAATCAGTATGCAGCTCTCAAGAAAAAATGGCTCGTATATTTATTTCTTCACGAAAATTTATAGCAACAGCAAATGACTTTTTCAAGCAACAGAAATAATGACAAATATTTCTTCTGATTTTTCTTTAGAACTGCAGAGAGGCCCTTAAGAGCATAAAAATTACACTGGCACACAAAAAAAGTGGTGTGTACTTTTAACTAGACCCAACTAACGACATGTATTTCGACCCACTGAATCCGAATCTGGAGTCCATGTGACTCGTACGCCTC